TGATGATAAGGCTTTAAGAACAAGATTTGAAGCCTGGCATAAAACTTGGAGAGTTAATTGGAAAATGTTTTAGCATGATAGCTTAGGCCTTCTCTAGAAAAATCTGCCAGTTTGTTCAGCACTGCCACCTCCCCATGGCCTGGAATAGCATCTGTCTTTGATGAACAGCTCATTGGTCCATGAATTCACACAGACTATGAATTCTGACGCTACAAAGGGAGGCGTTCTCACCAATAAAATTGTATCTAGAAAGAAATCACCTAAATTCTGAGAACATTAGCCATCCTATCACACAAGGAAAAATGGAAGAAACTGTAGCTACTACTCATCTAGAGTGGAGATGATTTCAGGGGATTGTAATAGATTGTTTTCAAATGGTTGAAGAACTGTCCAATGGAAAAGGGACTGGATTCTTACTTTCTTGTGATTTCAGAGGGCAGAACTAAGATTAAGGAGAAGGGACAGGCAGGACACAAATATATTAAAGACCATGGATTCTGCTCCCAGCATATGCTGCGTGTTGTGTACATAATTTCTTTTAATTCTCACAAAGTCTGTGAGTGGTAGCTGTTATTATATCCCTATAACAGACAAAGAGATGGAGATCAGAGAAGTTAAATGATACTACTACTAATAGTAGTAAAAATACTGTAAGTTACTTGTAAAAAACAACAGCAACAGCAGCAACAACTAACATTTATTGGGTATCAACTTTATGTCAGGTACTGTTCTAAATGCTTTGAGTACATTATCATTTTTTTATTCTCGTAAAAGTCTTAGGAAATAGGTACTATATTTATATCCATTTTACTGATGGGGGAATCAAGGCACAAAGGTTAAGCCATTTGCTTGGAGCTGCATGTTAATAAGTTGAGTGGATTTCAGAGCCAGGCAGTCTGGCTCTACAGCCAAACATCCTTCACCCTTACACTATTCTGCTGCTCTATTTTTGGAGCATTTGTTGTGTGTCAAATGTACTTGATAGTTTGTATCCTCATAGCAAATAGCAAATTAGGCATTATTATTCCCATTTTACAGATGAGAAAAAAATGAAGCTTAAAGGAATCAAGGAAGCCAATTACTAAGTTAAAATTATTATTCAGTCTTCAGGTTCCAAGCCAAAGTCTTTGCACCATGCTCAGCTTTCTTAGAGGGACAGAATCTGACTTTCTAACAAGTAAAGCTATCAAAAACCAGGATGGGTTGCACAGGGGGAAGAAGGAGCTCTCCCTCTCTGGAAATCTTGAAATGAAAATTTAGGCCAGGTGAGGTGGCTCATGCCTATAATCTCAACACTTTGGGAGGCCAAGGTGGGAAGATTACTTGAGTCCAGGAGTTCAAAACTAGCTTGGGCAACATAACAAGACCTCATCTGTACTACTACTAATAATAAGAAAAATAAGCTGGGTGTGGTGGCCTGTGCCTACAATCCCAGCCATTCTGGAAGCTGCGGTGAGAGGATCACTTGAGTTTGGGAGGCCAAGGATGCAGTAGGCTATGATTGCACCACTGTACTCCAATCTGGGTGACAGAGTGAGATCCTGTCTCACAAACAAACAAAAAAACCAACCAACCAAACACAAAACATTATGTCATCTAGAGGGAAGGGATAGAGGAGATTCAGGCGTCATGTAAAGCATTGAACCAGATGCCCCATAAGGTTTTGTCCTGCTCTGGGATTTTTTGTGGCTGCGTTTTCTTCTCATCTTCCCATGTCATCTTGTTTTCCCCCAGGTGTACTCAAACATATGTGCAAATCTCGCTCTAATATTTGAATCTGGCTCTGGGGTTTAGATTGCCTTGGTAAGATATTCACTTGCTAGGATATTTGACATGATGAATTGGGGGAAATGTTATGTCATTTGAGAACTCAGCAGCACAAACAGCAAGTGGTAAAGTTGTAAACTAAGGAAGAAAATGTAGTGTGAAGGTCTTCACACAACGTGATCAGATAGGATGTTCCAATAGCAGTCAGGGTCTCCCCTAGATGTACTTTTATAGTGAAAATGTTTGGCCATCTTCACTTTTCAAGGTGTTTATCAAATGCCGAATTTGGGAGGAGTAGTTTCCTGAGGGTGGTCTCAGTTTTAATGCTCTCCATTGGAATTTTTCCACTCTACTAGAGGTTTTATTTTCAACTCTGAATGCCTGTGGTGGGGGAAGGGGAGGCAGGGAATGTCTTCTTCCTATTAGCTCCAGGTGATATTTGTCATACTATCTTACAGAGTGGTTCTGGCGTGTCGCACTGGCTTCTCTTCTGAAACCATCTCTTGCTTTGTACTTAGTCCTATGGAAAACAAAGATTCTCAGTGCTTCTGGGTCAGGGGATTTATATAAATTTTCATATGCATCTATATACACCTCACTTCCCCCATCCCCTGCTTTGAATCAATCCTCTGTGCATTCTCCCTAATGTCTACAGATTGTTTCTCTTTGGTGGCATCATGGTGGTGGTGTTGATGGGTGAGCCTTCTTTGTTTGTCTTGCTGTCTACTTTGGACTCAAAGCTTATAAGAAATACTGTTTTAGCTCAAAGCTGAGAAGAAACACTTTTCTCCTTTTTACTGTCCCGTCCTCTCTAACATTCCTTGGCCTTTGGATGTTTAAATGTTTCTCTGAAGGAGGTGGGAGGTGGGGAAAGAGCTTGAAGTGATTCAGAATTTGTCTGGTGTTCCCCATAATGTCAGAAAATTTATTGTCCAGTATGGAGCCAAGATGGGGAATCAATTATGTACCATGTGATGGCTGGCTACTCTAAAGTGGGTAGATTCATAGAACAGGGACCTGTTTACAGCACGAGGTTTACATCTGTGCTACTTCTAGTCTAATTCAAAATGATGACAATCATGTCTCTCTGATAAGCTGAGATGGCCTCCCAAAGGATTTTGATGCAGTAGCTGGGTCTGTAGCTTAGCGGAGTTATAGAAACGGAGAACTGGGGTTGGTCTATATGTTAGCAATATGATGAAAGAAAACAAAGAAACACTAGAATAGATAGATACTACATTTATTCATATATTTAGAGATATGTTGGTTGATTTATTAAATTTTCATTCAAATGTTGGTACATTAAGTATAAATGCAAACAGTCCCATTCTAGTGAGCATTTAACTGTTGGTATAGGAATGGTGTAGGAATATTACTTACCACTTTCAGAGAGAGAGACAGTGGGCCTCAGCAGGGAACAGTCAGTCATTCATCAGGAAAACGACTTTTCGAAGACATAAAATGTTTTTAAGATTGTAAGCACTGAGACTGAGTGTAACCAAGTCTCAGTGCTGAAAAGGAAGACATCAAACATTTTTACATCTAAAAAAGCAACATTGACTCTAAAGAGGAGGGTTTCCAGGTTACTGATGAGATCTCAGTGGATTAGTGAATTTTCTATGTTGTAACAGCATATTAATCTCTAACCTTTCTATCAGGTAAAATCCATTAATTTTTTGCAGAAGTTAAACTTTCTTTTTGGGCTTTCAATTACAACCCACTGTAATAACCAGTTCATAGTTCCTTCCTCCCTCCACCCCTCTCTTCTGCCCTTCCTTCTTCTTGCCCCTCTTATTTTCCTTCTTCTCCAGCACAGATAAGAGGAAATAAAAAGGTTAGTTATTGAAGAAATGTGAGACTATCCAGGTTGCACACTGATGTCTTCTATTTCCCTCACTGCAATTGTCATTGTTAAAACAGATTGTTTCTTTTAAAAATATAAAAGGAAAAGAAAACAAATTAAACAAAGCCTGTAGAGGCAGTATGTTTAGGGAGTCTTGTGTGGGGCTTTCAGTGTGTTCACTGCTGCATGTTAACTATCAAGGGTTGGGGCTGCAATATGAAACATTGTTCCTTATTTAACGTTTCACACTCTAATCTTGTTTCTCTTGTGACCTTCTCTTTGCATTTATAACTGTTTCTTTGTACCCATAATCCAAAAATAAGTGTACATTCCTACAGAGAAAGGAAACTGTCAGTGGAGAGTTAATATAGTTAAAGCTTCCTTAACTCTGCGACAAACCCCTTAAATAATTAAAACTGTATGCTTGAAGAGTCAGATTTGCATTTCTTTACCAAGTTTATTTAGTACACTTTGTTACACTCAATTAAATGAGAATGTTCTGTTTCATTTTCTTTGCTTCGGGTTGATCATTTTGCCTTTTGATTCTTATGCCCTGGTGTAATTTCATAGTGCTTAGGTCTCTGAAACTATACATATACTAATGCATATGTAGATATATACATCCCATTAAAAGGCTTAATATTTGCACTGAATATATTCTTTGCCCAAGGCACTTGAGCATTCCTAGTAACATCAGGTATAACTGGGACTGCAGATAATTCATCGTGGTCAAAATGAGTTTGACAAAGTTCTTTTAACATCCAGCGTCTTTTTTTCCCTTTTTCAAAGCCCTGTTATTTTGGCATCACCTTCCCTCCCTACAGTTTGATTTGTGAATCTCAGCAAAAACAAGAAGATACAGGTGTTGAATGGTTGTGGAAAGGAAATTAAATATAAGTGCTGTCTCTTCACATCTCAGTTGGCAGAGCATGTGCAGACTGCTCTCTGTAAATTAGTTCATTGCTTAAGTTATGCATGTTTAAGAAGGAATAAATTAGTTATCCATTTCCTAATGAGTAGTGGGATCAATTGGAGCATGATGAGAGAGAAATAGCATAATTTTGCTTCCCCAGTTGGGGTTCAATATCCCTAAACTTCACCATTAATCACTCTATCAGTTTCCTGGGTTATTTCAACTCTATATGTAAGATATTCTTTCCTTTTAATTTTCCTACCAGGTAAGTAAGTCTTTTTGAATTTGCCCAGTGGTTTTGTAGATGTGTGATGCTGCTTTTACACCCAGGAGTGTCCTTTATTACAATGGGCCCTTCTGCCTTTGCATCAGTTTGTCTGGATGTGTTCATGAATAACAATAAATATGTATGTGTGATGACAATTTCAAGGGTTCTAATATGTTTAACTATTATGGGATCTGTTATGTCTACTTTAGGGTCGACCCCATCCCATATGACACTCCAAAACCAGCGGGCCACACGCGGTTTGTCTGCATCTCAGACACACACTCCAGAACAGATGGTATCCAGATGCCTTATGGGGACATCCTTCTCCACACAGGCGATTTCACCGAGCTGGGACTGCCCTCAGAGGTTAAGAAGTTTAATGACTGGTTAGGTAAGGAATGATTGCGTTCTGGCGGCCCCAATTAACCTTTCCCGTCCGAGTGTCACTCACTGCGTCCTAATTGAATTAGAGCACTTGGAAGCCAGCTCAGCCATTTCTCGTATGATATGTGGTGGTGTCTAGCTTTAATCCAATTCTGTTAATTAAAGATGAATTTTTAGATATTTAATTTTACTGTGCATCCTTTCAGTGCCTGGCCTTGGCGGCTCTGGGGCAAAGGGATGGAAAGCTTTGAAACCGATCTCATCTCACTCATTCTGCTTTAATGAGGGCATGCATTGGCACACAGGAGACCTAGAACCATATTTTTAATTCATTGGCTCTGCAATCTTTCCCAGATATTATAAGCAAAGATATACAAATGACCTACTAGTAAGAGAACATTTCTAAAAATGAAGGGGAAGATAAAAGTCCTTCTATGAAGCAAAGTTCCTATAGCACAGTGCTACTTGGGAGCAGATTGTCTAAGTGAGCTGGAGGGTGTTCTAAGTCCCCTGAAAACATCAGATGTATTACTGTAAACCTAAAACTTGGGATATGAAATTGCCCTGTGTCCTGTAAGAGGGATAATAGTAAGTTTCTGGGTGTTATGGAAGCACCCACAGGTCAGAGTTACTGTAAAATGTTGGATACTGGTTCCACTTTCAGAGGGAAAGAAGTGCAAGTGTTCTGAGATTTGAGAATCGCTAAAGATGTGAAGAATTATATAGCAAAGGGCAGACATCACTCTGGGAGCATTACAGCATCAATACTATGTCAGCCAACAAAAATAACTTGGGAGATTGAGGCAAAAAACTTTTCAGTTTTGTTTTCCATCAAACTAAAGCAGGGTTTGAAAATTTTTTAACATTTGATTAAATAAGATGTATGTGTTAATGGAAAGATGACATTTTAGAATTGTAAGCAATAAACTTAACTAACATAATCATTTTGATTTTTCATGTGACTTTGCTTATCTATTCATATTTTATATGGTTGACATCTGAGTACATATCTGCTCCTTGACTTCTGGCTGTTTTCATTTAATAGTATTTATTGGTAAGAATTAAAATGTTTTTGCATAATTTTTATATTTATTCTTTTTAATAGCAGCAAGGCATTCATATGGTTGGCTATGCCTTCCTTTAATAAGACATCTCTCTAAAAATGAGCATTTAAACTGATGTCCATTTTTCCTCTGCTAGCTAGCACTGAAATGTGTGTTTTTGTTTGTGTATGTTGTTTTGTTTCCACTGGTTTATTTCTTAGGGAAAAATGCTATATTTAATTTGCTAAGTCAAAGGATATGAAATTCTTTATGGTGTTTGCTGCATGTTGGCATCTTGCTTTCCAAGGGCACTGAGGCTGTGTGCTTCACTTCCAGTGAATAAATGTATGGTTACCAGTTTTACCCTGGTCTTGGCAGCATTGGATGTTGGAGCATTTATATTTTGTGCTGTTTTAGTGGGCACTCAATCATGTTATTTAAAACAACAAGATATTTTAAATATCATTTAGCATAATCTCATTTTTACAGATGATACAGAGATGTAGAGAAGTTAAGTGATTTTCTCAGTTTCATAGTGGCAGAGTTGGTTCTAAATCCAGATCTTTACACTTCTATTTTTTTGCCTCTATAAAATTTCAAGTACAATGATCTCTTTATTTTAGCAAATTTTATTCGTGAACTATTAGCAGTTAAAATGACTGCTGAGTAAATTTTGACAATTTTAAACTAGTTTGTGTCAATGGAATTTCAGCACAAACTTTATCAAGCTGCATTGACAATGTTGATTTTTAAAAGAGGACAACAGCACTGTGGGAAGTGTTTATAGAAAAGCAGGACAGTTAGTCCTGGTTGTAATCTTGTTTAGCCACTGACCTTGGGCAACTGAGTTAACCTGCCTTTTCCCCTTGGTTTCTCCCTGCAGGACTAAGGATTAATACTACCTGTCTTTCCGGATTGTTGTGTAGATTAATCAGTAAATGATTGCTGCTAGTGAGTTTTTGTGGACCATTAATAACTGAACGGGGAATGTGGCGAATGAACCATCAACATATATTTAAAGGGTAAAAACAAGAAGAGGCCAGAGGAATTATTTAGTAGATTAGAAGTGAACACTGGGAGATTTTATAAGGGAAAGTACTCCATAAATGGAAATGTGCCGTAACTAAGGAAATCTGATGATAAGGAAATAAAATGCTAAGGCAGAGCTGCATGGCCAGTTCCTTCTCTTCTCATTTCCCCTCTGATCTAGTGAGGCAGGAGGAAGAGGTTTCAGCATGGGTACAGAATGTGAGACCGAAGGGAGCCCATGGGATATGGGTAGAGAAGTTGGGATCCCATAGAGAGGGCCAAGAATAGCTCACTGTTACCCAGGCAACCTCATGGTGCTCAGAGGGTAAGAGATGGTTTGTGATATTACTCTACCACTTGGATCAATCAGGAACCTTACTGAAAGGGTACTTCTAGCAGCAGCTGCCAGGTGGCCTGGCAGAGTGGAGTTAGAGGTCAGATCAGTCAGTCTAGGGCTTTAGGGCTTTTGCCATAATAGGGCATCCAGCTGTCAGTGGGGCATGGGTCTCATAGATTTGGGAGGCATTTAGAGTCCAGTTAATCTCTGATTTCTGTCTTTCTACTCTTGTGTAGACTACCCCGATTATTGAAATCAACCTCATTGTCTCCCAAGCTCTTTTATTCTGTCTCTGGGCTAATTTGTTTCTACTATAGGCCAGGTACTCCCTCTATACCTGTAACATCCCTCTGAAGTTGCTAATGTTATTCCCATTTTACCGAAGGTCATTTAGTATATTAGCAGCTCATAGAGGCTGAATATCCACCCAGGTTTACTCAGCTAGTAGACCTGGGACTGTCTGACTCCAAAAGGTGAGCCCTTTTCCTTTGTCATTCTGTGATATTATGACAGGGCTTTGTGACACCTCGAAGCATGCAGATTTGAGGCTTGCACTAGAAAGTGCTGTAGCTTCTTAAGTTGAGTAGCTGTTTGACTATGTGCTAACAGTGCACATATTTGAAAGATGTGTTTAAGCTCTGCCCATCTTGAATCTCACCCTTGACCTAGCAGCTGCAAGACCTGGGAATCCCATCATGAGTTCTTTGTTGGTTCAGAGATGATGGTCCCTGGTTAATCTGTACATATGTCACCTAGCAGGTGTAACAGAGAAAGTTATTAATATGGGTAATTTATCAGATAATCTCGCACAGCTTCATCTTAGTTCACAGGAAGATTGAACTCAAACCAGATACCATTACAGGATGGAGGGGGAGTGTAACATGTAACGATTCTGAACAACTGGGAAGACCCTGCCAGTTTTGAATTCATTACCTTTGATAAGTTGTGTAAACTCTTGAGCCTTGATTTGCTAATTTCTAAAATGGGCATCATAATGATAATACACCCTACAGTGGTGATGAAGATATGCTCTGTGATAAAGCTATTACTGTTCTTAGAACAGCCGCTGGCCTATACACAACTTTCAACTGCCAGAGTAGAGGAAACCAATGGAGCCAGTGGCATAGAATCCCAAATGTGGCAGTTAAAAGGAGCTGGCCCTGGGCATTTAAAGAGAGATCCAGAGTGTAAAGAGGGCGTACCAAAATGTATAAAAACAATAAGAGACCTTGGAGGCCATGGAGTCCCACCTCCTAATTTGATAGAAGTGGAAATGGAGCCTGGAGAGATTGAATGAATTGTCCCTGGTTTCTCAGATAATTAATAGCCAAGTTGGGGTAGAACTTGGATGGGGCAGGGTTGAGTGGGTGAACTAACATGTCTTAACATGTATCATCTGTGCATGTTAGGTCATGTAAAGTCTAGATGCTATACCCACACATTACATATGTCATTTCACACAACCCCCATGACAACTTTTGAACTAGGTATTATTAGCTTCCTTTTAACTCATGAGGAAACTGAGTCTCGGTGAACTTAACAATTCAGCAGTGGCCTCGTCGATTTGAACTTACGTCCTTCAGACTCCAAGTCCCAAGTGTATTTTCTTATCATCTCTATTCCCAGAATGGGGTTTGAAATCCCTGTTGAAGGGACCACATCCTGGCTAAAGCCATGGTTCTTCAAATAACTGCCTCAGGATCTAAGGTGGTTTACTTCCTGTGAAAGTTGATTCGTGGCACAGCCTCTCTAAGTAAGTTGGCCAATGGATGAGCACTGTGAGGTGGGCAAATATTCTCACCATTTGGTATAGACAATTCCAGTGGCAGTGAATTACAACAAAGCAAATACCTGTAAAGAATTCTACTGATGCACATAAGCTCTAAAGAATAGTCTGAATTATGTTATGACATTAGCATTTCATTGACCAGTCCTGGAAATGAGTAGCTACTGATGGGAGCCTGGAAATATTGTCTTTTTGGGCAAGTCTTTCCCATTTATGAACACTTGAAATGATCAGGATATTCTAAAAACTGCAGCTACCACCCCAGTGACCCCCTTTCCTCCCAAATCTCTGTCATGGATTGGGAAATGAAACTTTGAATCCCTAGATCTGACAGCTGGAGGGAGTGACAGAGCCCCTGTTTTCCATCTCTCCCCAATCTGGCTAATCAGACATCCCAGTCCTTCATCCGCCCAGACAAACTGTACCTCTCTCTACCCGGTTGCTGCCCATTGTGCTGTCCTCAGGGATCCAGTCCAGGGTCAGAGCGACAGGTGGCTTCTTATTGACAAAGATTTACTGTCAGAGTATCTGGAAAGAGATACAGGTAAATCTTTCCTAAAGATACACTTTTTTTTTTTTTTTTTTTTTTTTTGAGATAGAGTTTCGTTCTTGTTGTCCAGGCTAAAGTGCAGTGGTACAACCTTGGCTCACCACAACCTCTGTCTCCCAGTTCAAGCGATTCTCCTGCCTCAGCCTCCCGAATAGCTGGGATTACAGGCACCCGCCACCATGCCTAGCTAATTTTGTATTTTTAGTAGAGAAGGGGTTTCTCCATGTTAATCGGGCTGGTCTCGAACTCCTGACCTCAGGTG